AACATTGTCATCTATAGGGGCATGGGTTGATCCTTCTCCTTTTGCTGGTCGAGATGGGAGAGGGCATTTCTCAGCACCTGACAGATACTCCCTTCTTGGCAAATCTCTGTTCCTTTCCACAGTTTTTTGACAGAGGAGGTACCTATTTTTCCTCCCCTTATAAAGGGCTTGCCTCCTCCCTTCCAGTCTTAGAGATGAAGAGAGAACCTGAGGATATCCTTGACTCAGGTTCTCAGAGGTATTAGTTGAGAGTGGTAAGAAGGAAGCCGACCAATCCATATTTCTGTATTGCTTACCAGAACTAGGCAATTTTTGTTAATTACTGACATAATGTAGGGATTATAACTGAGAAACAGCACAAAGTTTAAAATAGCCAGCTATGCTAGCTTTCTCTCTTTAGAGAGTAGAGGTTGTAGTTCGATTATATATTTAAAAAACGCTGCATTTATGTTTGCTCATCTCCAACATCAAGATCTTACTTTTGGAGAATCTTAATTAAAGTGATGATATGAGACCAGGAAGATTCTGGCTAAAGTTCTCACGATATGGGATTCAGCAGGTGCGTAAATTCAGTTATTATCTCTGTCCCATACATCATCTTGAACTCCTTGAGGAATAGGGGGTATACATACCTGTTTATACATATACATACAAGTTAATAAATGTGCCAAAAAAGTGTTCTTTGGTTTTTTTGAAATGTTTAATACCTTCATGTAGCAGATTCCACAAAAGACTTTCCTGTAGCACACTTTGTGGACATTTTATAATTTCTGCTTGTGACACAATTATTTCCTGAATATTGCCTCCTTTAATTAACTTTAACTACCTTTAACTTGGAGGCATGCACAATATTTTTTATGTTTTTTAAAAAAGCTTACTAGGAGTTTATAACAAATCTTAAAAACTTCTTGACATGTTCCTTTGTTGTTGTTTTTTAAATAAGCTCCTGTGAAATTTTTGCAAAAGCAAACATAAAGCCAGGCTATAATTTGTTGAAGAATTCTGAATCTATAAAAATTCAAATTATTTTTTTTTAAAAATCACTATTATGTAACTGTAGAGCCATTCATTTTACTGTAGGCTAAGAAGTGCGTTATTCCTCCAAAATCCCAGTCAGTTATTTGAAACTATGGTACTAGCAAAAGAATGTTATATTTTTTGTACATTGTCTTTAGTGGTATGGAAAGTTTTGTTTTGTTTTGTTTCTCATCTGTTTGTATTTAATCTTTGCTTAGCACAACATTTGAGTTGCAAAGTGCTAATGGTTCTTTTTAAAACACAGTGTGATTTTCTCTAGATTTATCTATATAAAATAACTTTTTTTCTTTTGTCTTTTATATCTGCCCAAAATACTTAATCATAACAAATCAATTATATTATATTTGTATTCTTAGGACCCCATTTATATTGTTTATAATTATTACAAAATTATTACATTTGATTAACATATAGATATGTACATCATTAAATGATTTTAATAATTTGATTGATAGCTGCAGCCTGCTGCTTAACCTGGATGAAAGTGTGGATTCTTCTGAGGAGTAAGAGGATTTAGTTTTCTATGGTACAATAAAGTTAAAATTAATGTAGATTTTAATAGTCAATATGTATATTAGAAGTGCCATATTGACAATATGGAACAGATATAAACCCAGTCTATAATCAAAAATATCTTTATGGATTTTAGTAATAGAAGATTTTAAAGTAAAAAAACAATACATAAAGACAAATTGTTAGCTTATCAAGAGTTGTTAGACCAGGAACACGGAAAGTATAAGATGAAATCAAAAGAGGAATTGGCTGCAGAGGGATTTATATTATGAGCTAAAAGAAAATTTTCACAAAATGATGTACCATTGGTTAAGAATCTAGAAAAGTTGTTTAAAATGTATGAATTTTTTTCAGATTCATGTTGGACAGCATTTTATCATGCCTGCTGGACTTGTAAAAACAAAAACCCAGTAATTTTGGGTTGAAATGCATAGAGTAATGCAAAGGATTTTAAAAAACAACCTTCAATTGAAACCTTAACTTTTTTTGCTGGGATTAATGGACAGCGGCCAATTAGTAAAGAGCTAATAAAGATTGTATTTATATTTTTTTTAGTGCTGCAAGTCTTAACAGAGAAATGGTTAGTGAAGATAAAAGAATTAGCAATTACAAATTTAACCTGTTTGATTAGAGAAAGATCAACAATTACCTTGATTAGTGACTGGAAACTCCTTATGGTTTTTTTGTTGAAAAATGAGAAAAATGAACTTGTGATTTACAGGTTATCTTATGGAAAGAAGGAAGTTATGGTAAAGGAAGGAAATTAGAACAAGAGGTCACAAAAAAATGAATCTGTAACCCCTGACAAGAAGACTGGAAATCGCTTCTTTATAATGTTTCTTGTTCTCTTCCTTTTTCTTTTTATGTTTCAGTTTCTCTTTTTACCATTCTTTATTATTTTCTCTTATGGTTTTTATTTTGTGAAAATTTCTCTAATTGACACTGGTTTTTTTAGAAATTGATAGCAAATCTAAGAATTTTTAAAGAGTCTTACATGCTGTCCATGAGTTATATCTGCCCTTCCTGAATTTTTAGCATGGACGAATGCATTACTACCAAACTAATAATTATTTTTAATAACCTTAGTATTTTAATACTGAAACCAACTTGGGTTGTACTATGTAAAAATAGTGGGGAGGGGGATTGGGGAGAGATTGAGTGAAATAAAAGATCTTGGATCTTTCTTGGGGACTGTGGCAGACAACAAGATATCTTAGAACAACCAGGGTCATTCATATGCAGAGATAACTTGCTAATTATTATTTTAATGATTGCTAAACCAGTTAATATTTGCAACTGCCATACAATATTTTCTCCATATTAACACAGCATAAGCACTACTATTTCAGTGATTGTAAAAATCTTCTTTGACTAAGCTTGCACTTTTGTTTGAGTATAGATGGGCATTGTGAATATTTATAAAATTACTTTCTGAGAAGCTAAAGTATTTTCCAGATTCTGAACAAATTATCCAATCTTCTTTTTTAAAGCTCGTATATTGTAAGTATTTTACAGAACCTAACTCTGCTTGAAAATATAAATGTCAATGACAATATTTTGCACCATCACCTGGATTTTAATGATTTCTTTTTAAATGGCTTGCTAATCTAATCCTAAAGAAAAGTTCTGATTAAAATTTTTATGTCTAAAATCTCAAAAATGTTGCTATGTTAACACAACACTCCCTTCTTCCATCCTGTTAGAAATACAAATAGCTTTTATTGACATACAATACTTAATCTCTTTTTTTTCTTTTTAGTGCAAAATGATGAATCTCAAATGACTTACAGTAAACAAAACTGATATAGATCTACTTCAGGGTGTGCCTATATTGTCTTTAAATTTTGTTGCATAAACTTTTTTCATTAGCGTATCTGTTGACATCAAGAAATGCATTCAACATGTTCTGAATTGCTGCCATGGCCCCAGTGCTTCAAGTGAATCTGAGAAATTAAAGCTTCTGGTGCCTCTCTGAGCTATAACATATTTTAAAACTCCTCTTGCAGCACAACAAGCATCTAGCTCTGTTTGTCTCCAGCTTTTGTAGCGCAGTCAGAATGGTGAGGATGGATAGGGATATAGTATGTGGGCTGCATAAATCAAAATAAATATTAGATGGCAGTTACAAAATAAAACTCAAACCTGCTGCTGCCATCTTCTGGCTGGCTGTATTTTTGCATGCTGAAGTATTATACCTCAAAATTAGGTTATATTGCCTCTTGGAATTTTCCTTTCTTGTGATTTTAGCAAATATTTTGCATAGAATCTGCAACCATAGCAACCACTCTGACTGATGATGAGTATCCTAAGATTAAGAGTATTGATTATTTATTAAATCTACTACTAAAAGTATAAATTATCTGAGGAATTCTAACAAAAAAAGAACTTTGAATTTGACACAGATTATTGGCTTTAGCAAAGTATAACTGCAGGGAATAAGAGGATCTATGGTTTGTCAGAGAGCCCCAAAAATAATGACTGGCCGTTGTCTTGAAGGATTTCAGAATGGATGGCAGAACTAAAGATAAACAACAAAGTCTGAATCATTCTCCCTTAAGAGGTTTAGGCTTTTTTCTACTCGGTTCAAGAGAAAGAGACTCTGTTTTCAGAACTTTTACTCAATTGAAACTATGGCCACAATCCAACATGAGATTAAATGCCTTAAACCCCTTAAAGTCAATGAATCTAAGCAGATTTAACTGGATGTTGGATTTGTCCCATGTTTTATTGTACTGATAGTTCTCTGGGGAAACTGACAATTCTATAACTAATATCAGGTCAGGACTTGCATAATAGCTTTTATTCTAGTAGCAAAAAAAAAACATTTTACAACTTAGTATCGAGAAGCTTTTAAGAAATTGAAGTAAGTGCAGCTTAGAAGAAATTATTCTTCCACAGTCTATTCAGGTAACTAATTTAGTAATATTTTTGTGCTGGCCTTTCTGCCTCTTTTTGTGAACATGTGGGTCATGACAATCTAGATGCAAGTACAGAGCATATTTGAGCTACTTATTTTTTACATGGGCTTTTTTTGTAGAACTTCCAACTTAGTTTATAGAGATTCTTGTCAACATCTGTTCTCTCTATTAATAAACTCAGAACACTGCTTGATATTCTAGTACTTCAGGAATTAATAGTAACCCTGTTTTTTCATGTGTTTGTTTATATGCTACCCATCTCACTGATAAAGTGGCTCTGGGAGGTGTATTGTTTCCTAACATCCACACTTTATTAAGCGGGGTTGCTGTTTGAATGGCCCTTTCTGCAGTGGAAAGAAAAAGCAGCATCTGGTATCCACATGGCTGGGCCTCTCATCAGATGGTGAAATGTCTTAGCTATACATTTTCCCTGGCATTGCTGCATCAGCATATCTCTCCACTCATCTTGGAGTGGATGTTTTTCTAGGTTGTCTTTGCTCACAGTAACATTCTTGGTTTGATCTCTCCTAGGTGCATAGCGTAATGTCCATGCTGTGCTACACTCTGATTATAGCATTTCTGATTGGCATATGGGCAGCACCACAATCTGAAGATAATGTCCCTCTGGGCTCCCCTGCAACATCTGACCTTTCTGACACCAGCAGTGCTAAAGCTCACGAGGGTCTGAAAACATCTCAAAACACTGATCAGCGCCATCCTGCTCCTAAGAAGGCAGAGGATCAAGAAATTGCATCGGCAGCAAACATCATTGTGGATCCCAAGCTTTTTCAGAAGAGGCGGTTCCAGTCGCCTCGTGTTCTGTTCAGCACTCAGCCCCCACCATTGTCAAGAGATGAGCAAAGTGTGGAGTTCCTGGACAATGCAGACTCTCTTAATAGGAATATCCGGAGCAAACGTGACAGTCATCCTGTGCATAACCGAGGGGAATATTCTGTGTGTGACAGTACCAGTGTCTGGGTTGCCAACAAAACCAGAGCAACGGACATCAAAGGCAACCTGGTGACTCTGCTGGCAGATGTAAATCTTAATAACAATATCTATAAGCAGTACTTTTTTGAGACCAAGTGCAGAAATCCAAAACCAGTACCGAGTGGGTGCAGAGGCATTGATTCCAGGCATTGGAATTCTTATTGCACCACAACACACACCTTTGTTAAGGCAATAACCCAGGAAGGCAATCGGGCATCCTGGCGCTTCATTGCGATTGACACTGCCTGTGTGTGTGTAATCAGTAGAAAAACTGAAAACTTCTGATTGACCATTGATTGCTCCAATACTCACTTTCTCCCCATCCCCTACCTCAGCCTGTAAATTATTTTAAATTATGAGGGCTCTATGATATATTTATGATTTATACAATGAAATAAATGAATCATCATAATTTATTAAATCCTTTTGAAAACTGAATACATGATGTGAGCATTAATGGCATATTGTTTCCTGTTAAACAAATATTTTAGCTTTTCTTTAATATGCTTGTCATAGAAAAGTTTCTGAAAAGAGTGTATGGCAGTTTTCAGTGTCCTACACCTGATCTTTTTATTTAAATCAAACTTCATTACATACAAGTCCATTAGGAAGATTCTCCCTCTCCTAGGTCAGAATCATTACACATCTGAGGAGATGCATAACTATCATTGTTTTCAGATACATTGACTTCTTTCTGTTTATACATTCTAAATATTAGATTTGCAGCTGACTTCTTGTTAAACATGTCTTCATAGCAGTCCCATACACATCTGTTCATTTATTATTAATTTATTTTTATCCTATTTGTATTATTTTTACAAATAAGCAGTGAACATATCGATTGATTGATTGATTGATTGATTGATTGATTGATTACATTTATATGCCGCCCTTTTCCCCAAAGGGGACTCAGGGCGGCTCACAATTCAATCAGGGAAGGAGGTACAGACAGGGGGATAAAAAAGATGAGACATAACAATACAAAATTTTAAAAACACACAACAACCATACCATTTGAGAAGGGGGGCAAAAACTCTTTAGCTCCAGGAGGCCTGTCGGAACAGCCAGGTTTTAAGGGCTTTGCGGAAGGCCTGGAGGGTGGTGAGGGTTCGAATCTCCACGGGATGGATTCTGCATAGGGTTGGAG